GATATCCGATTCGATGCACAGTCGGCCCGGATTAGTAGGTCGACCCTGCCAGCTCAAGGGTACCCTTGTGTCCTCTGCCTCGCGACACGTGCCTTCTTACACTCCTGTGGCGATGTGGCCCTCGGAAAGATCTTGTGCCCTCTCGCGTGTCCTGTCCAATCAAGGCCGACTCTACGACGTTCTGGCCCGATCCGATGCGACTCCGATGTTCCCACGCTTCGATGCGGCCCGACGGCTGCCTGTGGCGCCGCTCTGCGCACCCTGGCGCGGCGGAGCCGATCCGAGCTCTCGGTTCCGCGCCCGGTGCGGCCCGATCGGACGCGCCCTGCGACTCGGGCCCATCTGCCGCTTCGAGGCCGACTGATCCTGCCCCCTCCTCGACAAAAAACGACCAGCACGCACCCAGACACATGGTTCATTTCTGATTATTCGAGAGTCCTCTGATTTTTTGGGTGGCCAAGCTCCTTTCATTTCTAATTCTTCTATCCTGGGCCTCTTCCTGGCCACTAGGAGGCCAGGAACAATTAGAAACGCGCGCAATTAGAACTGAACACGATTAGAAATGAACGACGTGCACCCACTGCGGGGACGGAAGGGGCTACGGGTGCGCGTTGCCGGAGGGGGGTCCCCACTCGATCGGGAGCCTCCCGCACAGTCCTCCTCCCTCCGACCGTCCTGCGGGCACGGGAGCGTGCGGTTCGCTCGTCACTCCTGGCCCTTCCCCCTCCCGAGGCTGGGGAAGCCAAGAGGTAACGATGCCGCCGCTTCCCGGACGTCTCCGAGAGGGCGCGTTCCGACCAGAATTCCGGGGCGAGTCCCGCGGTGGCGATGAGGGCGTCCGAGGACGCCCAGAAAGAGAAACAGCGGGGCGAGGGTACGGGTAGGGCCCGGGTACCTTCTCTTCCTCCGAGAGGCGGGCCCCGCGGCTCGGCGTCACGCCAACATACTGTACTGAAACTATGTGTGCGTCGCCCTCCCCCCACCCAGGGCGACGCGCGCATCGAGAAATCTTGCAGTAGATGCGTCCTGGGCGGCGCTCTCTGCCACGCCGCTCGGGAAACGATCGACGGCACGATGGGTATGCACCACATGGTCGGCTCGCACGCGCGCCTCCAACGAGGACACACACTGCCAGTGTGTCCTCGTGCGCCCCGCTGGCCCTCCTCCCCCCCCCTCCCGAGGCGGGCCCCGCGGGCGCCGCCCCGTCGTGCTCGTCCTCGGCGCCGCCCTGGGCGGCGGCCGCCGCGGCGCAGGCCAAGGCCGACGGCCCCTGCGGGGAGGGGGGGGGAGCAGCGGCACCGTGTCGGGTGCGCAGGAACGCCAGCAGGCCCAGGGTTCGCCGGGGACTGGCTTCCCACCAGAGCGACGAGAACCTTCTACCAACCCTCCCGAAGCCTTCCGAAGAGCCTCCTGGAAGCCTTGCCCGGAAGCTTTTCGGAGGGCTTCGCGAGGGTCTCGGCGGTTCTGCGAGGAAGCCGGTCCCTGGCGAGCCCTGGACTTTCTACGTAACACCAACGAGACTCTGTGGAACGTTGCCGAAAGCTGCCGCTTTCAAGGCCTCTCTCTGGCATTTGCAGCTTTGCCCACCTCGGGGAGGACTGGGTTCGCCGGGCCACTGGCCAGCGTCTCCTCCTCCTTCTCTTCCTTTTCCTCCTCCTCCTCCTCCTCCTCCTCCTCCTCCTCCTCCTCTCCTCCTCCTCCTCCCCCTCCTCCTCCCCCTCTTCCTCCTCCCCCTCCCCCTCTCCCTCCCCTCCTCCCTCCCTCGTCCCTCCTCCCCCTCCTCCCTCCTCCCTCCTCCTCTCCTCCTCCTCCTCCCTCCTCCTCCTCCCCTCCTCCCCCTCCTCAACCCTCCTCCCTCCCTCCCCTCCTCCTCCTCCCTCCTCCTCCTCCTCCTCCTCCTCCTCCTCCTCCTCCCCCTCCTCCTCCTCCTCCTCCTCCTCCTCCTCCTCCTCCTCCTCCTCCTCCTCCCCGTTCGAGGGGCGCTTGGGGGGGACTCGCGCGGGCGCGCGCGCCGGCTCTTGGCCGGCGCCGCCTCGGCGGGGCGCGCCCGCGCGAGGGCAGGCGAGGTCAGGGGTCGAGGCGGGCACGTCCCTCTGCAGGAGGAGTATACAGGAGGAATGTCCAAGAATAGCTCAAAAGTGCGGTGGTGACGATTTTTCAGTAATTCTAATGACTCGTTTGAATCCGTTTTTCCGACAGGCAAGTTCAGGGGTTGAGGCGAGCACGCCCCTCTAATGGAGGAGTGCAGGAGGAATGTCCAGGAATATCTCAGGAGTGCTGTGGTGACGACTTTTTCAATAGTTTTAATGACTAGTTTGAATCTTTATTTTCGGCAGGCAAGTTCAGGGGGGAAGTCGGGCACGTCCCTGTACAGGAGGAAAGGTCAAGGATAATTTGAAAAGGGCTCTGGGGGCGATTTGTCGACTTTTTTTTTTTTCTTTTTTTCGGACTAGTTTGATTTTTTTTGGCTATGTTTCATATTCTTCAAACATCCGCCTGTAGGAGGACATGCCCGACCTGAGGGCAGGGGGAGATCGACTCACGGGGGGGGGGCACGAGCCCCCAATCGCACCGTCATCCTGGTCAGAACGCGTCCCCGGAGAGGTCCGGGGAGTAGTGGTATGGGTATTTTTTCCCTCTGCAGGGCGGAGGAGGAGGAGGCGGAGGAGGACCAGTGTAAACCCAAGACTCGTCAAAGATATTGCAATCAACCTCCCGTCCACGTTCCCTCTTCACAGGCCCCTGCAAGGGTTCATTTTCGCTGAGGGAAGTGCCACATTGGAAGACAACCGTTTGAAAATCCTGAACTGGGCCAGAGCACCATTTCAGGGACTTCGACGCCGCGGCTCACCGTCACATTCCAGCGTCTTGACGGGCCAGGACAGTGCCACAGAACACCACCCTTCAGATTCCAGCACCGCGAGTCCACGTCACTGGTGCGCCCCGAACCCGACATCGTGCCAGAGCGCAAGTTCTGGGACGGCAGCCACGGGAATCCTGGAGGCGACTGTGCGCGGAGCCCAGGCAGGGAGGAGGAGCAGGAGGAGGAGGAGGAGGAGGAGGAGGAGGAGGAGGAGGAGGAGGAGGAGGCGGAGGAGGAGGGAGGAGGAGGCCGAAGGTGGCGGCAGCTCCTGAAGCGACTGCGCGCGGCGCCGGGGCGGGCGGGAGTCGCGTCTTGAAGACGGGAGCCGCCCTCCGTCCGTGCAGCTCCCTGCACTTGTTGAGGACGACTGCGCGCGGCGCTCATGTGAAGTCGGGCCTGGCCCTCTTACAGGGGGGGGATATTCAAACACAGTCAAAAAATCGTCGGGGGACGATCTTGGGGGGTATTTTTGAGCATTTTGGAGCACTTTGGGGGTATTTCTCAGTTCTCGTCCAAAATCCGCCTGTAGGGGGACATGCCCGACCTAACGCTAATGCGAGAGCCACGTTCTGAAGGCGGCCCGCCCACTGGCGAAGAGGAGGGCGAGGCGGAGCAACCAGCGGCATTTTCCGAACCCTTCTCCTCAGGTCGGGATTTGGGCTCCGGCCCTTGAATTTTTCAGACCAATGTGCGCGGCGCTAAGGCGAGAGCCTCCCTTTTTTTAAACGGAACGCCCTCCATCCGCGAAGTTCTTTGCAATATTGTGGAATCATGTTCGCGGGGCGAAGGGGAGAGCCACACTTTTTCAAAGCGGCCCAGCCTCCATCATCCAAATTCTGGCAGCTTTTCAGCTTCATGACCATCCGTGGTGAGGACATTTGAGGCGAAGCGCCCAGCCCGCCCTACCGACACGCTACGGGGTGCGACAGGGAGGAGTTATCGAGTGGCCTTCGGCCAGTCCCGCCACCGTCGCCACCGTGCCTGGGTTGTGCGTCAGATTTCTCAGGGATGCTTTTGGGTTTCTCTTCGGAGCGCTGTCGGGGCCTCGACATGTAGCATGCGAGCAGCATCAGGACCGTTCTATAGCTATTTTGAGTGCCGTCCTGGCCTCCCCGAACACGCAGATCCTTCACTCGAGCATGTGCGGCGCCGACAGTCTGCTCCCTCAGGGAAACCCGCACTTCTTGGCGGAGGCCGCCCATGCACGGCGGCTGTTGCTGACCCGCGCTCTGGGCCAAGGGGCACGAGGGCCGCTGGCCTGGGTCGCCGAGCCAAGGGGGTTCGAGGGCCGATGGCCTGGCTGCGGCATCACCAGGCCTGGGGCCCCAGGGCCGCAGGCCTGCGCTGTCAGCACGGTGCCACACGCGACGCCGCACGCAGCGTTGCGGCGCGCCAGCGCTCGGAAAAGATCCGCGCGCGTTCGCTGATAGGCACATGTTTATCATTCAGTTCAGTCATGCCACCATGACAGACGAAGTGCGTTTCCCCCAACGATGAACAATTATGCTGTCGATCTGTTTGTGTGCCATTTTGTTTCCGACTTCGGGCCTCCTTGGGCCCTCTGGAGGCTTCCCTGCTGCCTTGGCAGGTTCAATCATGAAGATCCATGCTCTTGATTTAACTTGAGGGCCATCCTGTGACCCGTGACCGCCCTGGAGTTCCTCTTAGGGCCCTCATGCGGCCTTCCTGCGACTGGCAGTTAACTAGCCCAGAACGGCTTCATTCCGTGCGGTCTGGACCGCAGCCCCATGCCATTCGCGCCATCGGACCACCGTGCCCTTCAGGGTGGTGACTCTAGGAAACTAGGCTCACAAACGGGTCAAGGCGCCCCAAACCAATGTGACCTCAAGGAGGAGGAGGAGGAGGAGGAGGAGGAGGAGGAGGAGGAGGAGGAAGACGAGGAGGACGAGGAGGACGAGAAGGGAGGGTGAGGGGCAGGAGGAGGAGGAGGAGGAGGAGGAGGAGGATGAGGAGGAGGAGGAGGAAGACGAGGAGGACGAGACGGGAAGGGGAGGGGCAGGAGGAGGGATGGGGGAGGAGGGGGTAGGCGGGGGAGGAGGGGATGAGGCAGTGGGAGGAGTGGACGGCGGAGGGCTGGCGGCGCCGAAGCCCCGAGCCCATCGATGGCGGCCGCCAGGCGGGCAGCAGGGACCCGCCCTCCGGTTCGCTGGTGCACTTCTGGCCCTGGCCGGGGACGGACGGCGCGTTCGACGCGCTGGCGCGCGCCCTGGCCCTCAGGCGGCGCTCTCCGCTCCGCCGAGCTCCCCCTCCCCTGCGCCTGCGCCTTCAGTGCCCGCCTCCTGGCTGCTCGCCCCCTCTCTGCTCGCCCCGTCGCTGCCCGCCGTCGCTGCCCGCCCTGCTGTCCTCGTCTCTCTCTCTCTCTCTCTCTCTTTGTTCTCTCTCTCTCTCCCTCTCTCTCCCTCTCTCCCTATCCTTCTCTTCTCCAGCCCCTGGCGCTCTGCGGCCTCCGCGCCGGCCTCCCGCGTCCGGCCTGCCCCGCCCCCCTCCTCTGCTGCCTGCCGCCGTCCATACAGCCTTGAAGTCTGACGACGACGTCGTCGAGAACCCGCCGATCTCTTTTCGATCCCCGAGCCCCGCCCGTCGAACTTCCAAACAGGGGCAACTTCAGAGGGGGACGCACTCAGGGGCGAAGACGTCGACTCCCAGATGCCCACTCATCGCCGACAGTGCCTCATAGACCACCCGCCCAGCAACGCGCGGTTTCGCTGTCAAAGGCCTGTCGCCAATCCGTCGGCGATGCATCGCCGACTCCAGGTCGATTTTCCTCGTTCTCCCCTTGTGCCAGTCCCGCCTATCGTTCCCGCTCAGATCCTGCCCCATCCCCTGGGGCTGTGCATGTTTTCAGGCCGTGCCATGGGGGTTGCTGCCAGGGGGGTCGCCTGAGGACCGAGGTCCGAGGACCAAGGATCGAAGCGACTTTGAGCGTTTCGGGAGATTCGGAGGGACTTTGGGGGTCCTGAGGGGCCGTCCTCCCCCCCCCGCATGTCGTTTGCCTTCATCGAACCTCGATCTATGGGCGACGACGACCCGGCTCCGCCTTGTGGCTCCTGAGGGGTTGCCTCCCCCCCTCGATCCATCGACGACGACGACGACGTCGACGACGACGACGACGACGACGACGACGTAGACGACTACGACACGACGACGACGACGACGACGACGACGACGACGACGACGACGACGACGACGACGACGACGACGACGACGACGACGACGACGACGACGCGCCCCCAGGCTGTGCAGCGACGGCCCGCGCGGGCGGGGCCTCCCCGCGGAGGGGCCCCCGCACGGCGACGGCGCCGGCGGCGGCCCCCCCGCTGGGAGGCGCGCCCCGTCGGCGAGGCGGAGGAGGAGGAGGAGGAGGGCGGGGGAGGAGGAGGAGGAGGAGGAGGAGGAGGAGGAGGAGGAGAGGAGGAGGAGGAGGAAGAGGAGGGAGGGGAGGGGAGGGGGGAGGAGGAGGAGAGAGGAGGAGGAGGAGGAGGAGGAGGAGGAGGAGAGAGGAGGAGGAGGAGGAGGAGGAGGAGGAGGAGGAGGAGGAGGAGGAGGAGGAGGAGAGATGAGGAGGAGGAGGAGGAGGACACGAGGACACGGGAAACGGAGAGATCGAGCATGAGATGAGGAAGGGGAATAGTATGTTCGGAACAGGAGGAGGCTTCGGCCATCAGAGCGGGGCGGAGGAAGAAGAGGATGAGGAAGAGGCTGATGCTGATGCTGATGATGCCGCTGATGATGATGATGAGGATGTTCATGATGGTCATGATGATGCTGAGAATGCTGCTGCTGATGATGAATATGCTTAAGATGCAGATGACGATGATGATGCTGCTGATGATGATGATGATGTTGATGGTGCTGAAGATGTTGATGATGCTGGTGTTGATGATCATTATGCTGATGACCATGACCATGCTGATGCTGATGATGATGACCATTACGATATTGATGCTGCTGATGATGATGACGCCGATGCAGATGCTGCTGATGATGATGGTGGTGGTGGTGGTGCTGATGATGATGATTATGATGATGATGATGATGATGATGATGATGATGATGATGATGCTGATGATGATGATGATGTTGATGATCATGATGCTGATTATGATGACGATGCTGATGCTGATGATTCTGATGATTCTGATGATGATGGCGATGTTGACGGTGATGGCGGTGATGATGATTATGATGCTGATGCTGCTGCTGATGATGATGCTTCTGATGCTGCTGCTGATGATTATGCTGCTGCTGATCATGATGCTGATGATGCTGATGTTGATGATGATGATGATGATGATGATGATGATGATGATGATGATGATGATGATGATGATCGTGATGATGCTGCTGATGATGATGATGATGATGATGCTGATGATGATGATTCTGATGATGATGATGATGATGATGATGGTGGTGGTGGTGGTGGTGATGATGATGCTGCTGCTGCTGATGATGATGATGATGACGATGATGTTTATGATGGTGATACTGATGCTGAGGATGATGAAGAATAATACTACGAATCATGATATTACTACTAACTACTAGTAATGCGAATCATCATAATCATACACATAATCATACCAATCATATTATGATGATGAGGAGCAGGAAGAGGAATCCGAGGAGGAGGAGGTTCGGAGGACGAACTGATATCGATGCCGATTCGCCTCGAGATCTGGGTAAGAACGTACTCTTGGAGAGGCCTGGGGAGCATCGGTATGGGTATATCTTTGCCGCCCCGCCCCCCGGAGGAGCACAGGATGCGGATTTGGCTGTTCAGGGCTCTCCCCTGGGCCTCCTGGAAGGCCTCGAATGTGTGGCCAGGACGCGCCCCTGGAGAGATCAGAGGGGCGATCTCTGAGGCATGAGGCTGCTGATGACGAGGAGGAGGAGGAGGAGGAGGAGGAGGGAGAATGGAAGAAGGTGGAAAGGTGTTGAACGGGGGGTGAAGATATGCTGCTCTCCTTTCTGTCGAAGTGCCTACTGGACGTTTCTCTCTGGACGTGTCAGTTGGAACGCTCTTGTGCATTGTAATTCAAGCCACGGCGGCGCTGGCGTCAGCCTCGTTCCCGACCAGTGCAGCTCAGCTCTTTCTGGCTTGTTCCGACAGGAGGTGGTCAGCGCTCGAGGATGGGGTCACTGCGCATGCTGCCGTTCCGCCCCCTTTGCGTGGGTCGTGCCCTCGAGGCTTCTTGGACGCCTCTCGGGGCCTCCTGCGGGTCTGCTGCCTGCCTTGGGGGCGAACAACGGGCCCGAGGGCTCGCGTTGGGCAGCTGGCCCGCTCTCTCGTGCCCGTGCACGCCCTCCTCGCCGTGCCGGCCTCGCCCTCGCGCCTCCCTCGGGGCGAGGCCCGGCTCGGGTCTGCGTGGAGGCAGCGCCCCGCCGGACCCCCACGGGGGGCAGCACCCGGGCCTGGCTCCGCTCTGCTCGAAGGCGCACGGCGCTCCCCCGGAGGAGCAGGAGAGGCCAGGGCACTGGGCGCACGGCGACGGGCGCCGGCGCCAGGGTGCCGCACGAGAGGCCGGATCGGCACAGCGCATGGCCGCCCTCTCGGTCCCGAGCCCCACGGAGCGCGGACGGCACATTTGAGCGCATGTTAATGTTCGCCCCCGGGTCGCCCGCAGGGGCGCACCCATGGCAGCCGTGGCGTCGCGGTCTGGGCCCCGAGCGAGCGCCGCACACGGGCGTTGGACGAAGTCCCCGCTCGGCGCTTCGCGTGGCGCACTGAGCGCGGGGAGGGGTGGACCTCCACGAAGACGCGGTCGACACCCGACAGGGCCGCCTGCGATACGATGCGATGCGATCCGTTTCGCCGCCCAGGGCCGCGATTCCGATTCGGTTCGATGCGATGCGGCTCGGTTCGCCGGCACTTGTCTGGGGTCAGCCAGGGCCGGGCGCGGCGATCCAATCTCGATCCGAGTCGGGACGATGCCCAGGAGATTCGATCCGTTTCGATTCGATCCAGCTCAGGCATGCCGGATCGACGCAGCAAAACGGGGTCGTCTGCACAGACAGTGGCGCGTAAGCTGCTCCCGTGAGGTCGCGCGTGCGCGCCCTCGTTTCTGATGTGGCGTGCCGCGCGGGCGGCCCGTGTAAGCTGCCGCTTCAGGTGGCAATGCATCTCGCGTAAGACCCTTCTCTTTCCGTCGCGCACCTGGGCATGTTGTCGGTCGATCGCTTGGCTGCTTTCTGCTCGGGCCCCCGCTTCTGCTGGCGGAGTCCGCTCCGGAGAGCGGCGCAGGGCCGTCGCCGTGCCGCGCCGCGAGCTCGCTCTCAAGGCGGGCTCCATGCAGGACCAGATGAGAAGGCGCCCGGACCGCCAATAGCCCTTGGCATCGCTCGGACGTGCACATTTTTCTCGGCGAGGACCATCGAAGAGCATCTGGGATCGTTGAGCAAGAAAAACACGCACAAAACCGAAAGCGCACAGGGAGTGGACGTCCGAGCGACGGCAAGAGCCACTGCGCCTGCGCGCCGCAGGGGTGGGTGGGGCGGGCGGTGGCCCCAAGCGCACAGTCGGGTCTATTGCTGCTGCAGCTGCTGTCGCTGCTGCTGCTGCTGCTACTGCGAGGACCGCTACTACTCCAAGTTGGAGTAGTAGCGGTCCTCGCAGCAGTAGCCGTTGGCAACGGCTGTGCTTCTGCTGCTGCTCGTGCTATTGCTGACTGACTCCAGGGCGCGAGCAAAAGCAGCGAACGGGAGGTGTCGTCACCATGTCGGGAAGGAAGCAGTGCTTTGGCCGGCGTTCCCGGACTCTCTGATGGTGGGCGCCAGGGGGCGAGGAGGAGGAGGAGGAGGAAGAGGAGGAGGAGGAGGAGTAAGAGGAGGAGGAGTAAGAGGAGGAGGAGGAGGAGGAGGAGGAGGAGGACGAGGAGGAGGAGGAGGAGGCGAAGGAAGAGGCGGAGGAGGCGGAGGCGGAGGAGGAGTTCAGCGAGGACAGCGAGGTCAAGGACGGCGAGGAGCCCCCGAGGCGCCTCGCGCGCCGAGGTTCCCCGAGTCTCGCCCCCCGCGCGCGCCCGGGGGCGCCTCGGGGGCGCCGCGTGCGCTGGCTTGCGCTCCCGGCTGCGCACGTCGACTGCACCGCACAGCCTGCACCCCACGGATTCCGCCGTGAAAAAATCCCGCAGTCAAAACATTCAGGAGGGGAAAAAGCACACAGACACAATACATCGTCGATCCCCAGGAAAATATGGGAGAATATGGGAAGTGGGAGGGGGGGGGAAGACGAAAACCCAGAACATGTTGTTTGTGTGTATTTATTTGTGTGTCCTTGGGCCCCTCGAAACATGCATGCCGTGGATATCGCCACATGCATTGCGACACAAACGCTGCGCCACGTGCCGAAGACGCCTGTGGCGATTCACCGCCGCCCCCTGCTGTTTTGGGAGCGTCGATGTGCCCGAACGTTGGGCTAGAGCTATCGGACCATGTGTTCCCCCAGCCGTCGTTGAACCTTTCGGGGAGCACGAGAGGAGGAGGAGGATACTGATGAGAAGAAGGAAGATGGAGTAGGAGGAGGAGGAAGAGGAGGAGGAGGAGGATGAGGAGGAGAGGGAGGACGCCTCTTGCTAGCCTCTTGGGGCACTCTTGGGGTCTCCTGGGAGCTTCCTGGGGGGCCTCTTGGAGGCCTCCCGAGGGCCTCTTTGGGCCTCTTTGGGAGCCTTGGGCGGCCTGCTCGGGGCCTCTCTGGCCATCTCACGGCGCCTGCACCGACTTTGTGCCCGCTGGGGCGCTCCACGTCCGTCCTGGAGGCCATCTTCGGCGTCCCGGAGGCCTCTCGGGCCGTCTCGGGGCCTTCCTTGGGGTTGTCTTAGGGGCCTCTCGAGCCCCCCTGAAGCCATTTTGGAGGCCTCTTGGGCGATCCTGGGGCGATCTTGCGGGGCTCTTGGGCCGTCTCGGGCTGCCGGGAGGAGGAACCAAGTGCCAGCATCCTGTTGCAAGCCCAAGGGAAGTCAATGGTTTTTGCCTCCTCGGGCCTTTCTGGATACCCTTCTGCGGGCTTGTTTGGCCTTCTTGGAGGTCTTGGGTGCATCTTGGGCCGTCTTGGTTGCACCTTGGAGCTATCTGGGGCTTTCTTGGAGCCATCTTGGCCGTCTTGGAGGCGTCTCGGAGGCATCTTGGAAGCCATGTTGGCCCACCCTGGCCGTCTCAGAGGCGATTGGGGCCATGAGAGATTGATTTTGGGATCTTTCCAGGTGGCCGACGCGCTGTGCCGAAGCCCAAAGGGAAGTTCTAAGATAGCCAAGACCACCAAACGTCTAGCACCCTGGGCACCCGTGTGGCAAGACCACAGGGGGCGGCGGATGACGGAAAGTGCGTGTAGCGTCGCGATCCATCAGCCCCGAGAAATAGGATGGGGGAGTGTGAGGGGGTTGGCCACTGAGGACACAGATGACGGAAAGCGCGCGTAGCGGCGCGATCCGCAAGGTGGGAGAAACAACGATGGCAAACATTTCAGTCATGTTCGGCTTTGGACGGTCCAAGTCTGCCCCAAGAACGCCTCAGAGGGCCCCCAAACGGCCCAAGACGGCCCCAAGAGCGCCCAAGCTACCGCCACGACGGCCGCAGGGAGGCCCAAGAAGGCCTCACGACGGCCCGAGAGCGCTCAAAGAGGGCCCAGGATGGCCTCAAGACGGCCAAAGAGGCCCTCAAGAAGTTCCACGAGGCCTCCAGAAGGACCCCCCGGAGGCACACAACGTTTCATTGCCTTGAGGAAACGTGCGTTCGTTGTTCGCATTTTTTTGTTTTTTGTCTTCACACGTCCACGACGGCCTAAGAGGCCCCAAGGATCGCCCAAACACGACACAAGAGGCCCCCAAGACAGCCCCCAGACGGCCCAAGACGGCCCAAGAGGGCCCGAAGACGGCCCAACCAAGAGAGGCCCCTGAGGCCCCAAGAGGTTCTCAAGAGAGCCCCAAGAGGGCCACGGGAGGTCTCCAAGCGGGCCCCAGAGGGCCCCGAGAGGTCCCCAAGATGGCCCAAGCCAGTGGAGACGGCCCAAGAGGGCCCCAGAACGACCCAAGAGGACCCCAAGACGGCCCAAAGTAGCCCCCAAAGGACCCCCCAAAAGGCCCAGAGCGACCATCTTCATTGATTGTCGCAAGGTTGGTGATTGTTTTTCCATGACGTACCAAAAAGTCTTGACGCCAAGAGGATTCCATGATTTGTTCGAGGTCAAGAGGGGCCCAACACGGGAACGGATAGCGTTCGTACTTTGTGTGGACGCGAGGTCGCTTGCTCTGTGTCTTGGAGTCCTCTTGGCGTCAAGACTTTTCGGTACGTCATGCAAAGACCCAATAATCAACCTTGCGACAATCAATGAAGATGGTCGCTCTGGGCCTTTTGGGGGGTCCTTTGGGTCTCCTGCGGGCCGTCTTGGGGCCCTCTTGGGTCGTCCTGGGGCTCTCTTGGGCCGTCTCTGGGGGCTTGGGGCATCTTCGGGCGTTTTTGGGGCCTCTCGGGGGCTCTGGGGGCTCCTTGGGGGCGTCTTAGGGCGTCCGGGGGGCATCTTGGGACGGAAGGCTCGAATTGTCGGTTCCGGCCCCCACTTCTGGTCCCCTCTTGGGGCCCTCTTGGGGCTTTTTTGGGCCGTCTTGGGCGCCTCTTGGGCCGTCTTGGGGCACTTTGGGCCGCCTTGGGGCCCTCTTGGGGGTCTCCGGGGTCGTCTTGGGGCAGCCTGGGGGGGCCTCTGGGGACGTCCTGGAGCGTCGGAAGCTCGAAACGTCAAGAACCCCCCTTAACATTTCCAAACCCAGAGGTAATCAATGATTGTGGCTTCTCGGGGCCATCTCAGGAAGGCTCTTGGAGCGCTCTCGGTGCGTCGCGAAGGCTTCTTGGACAATCTTCGAGCCACCTTGAGCGTTTTGGAACGATCGCGTAGCGAATCGGAGCACCCTTGAACCATCTGGGCGGGCTCTTGGAGGACTCTTGACCCGTCTTGGGCCCCTCGTGGCCTCGAACAAGTCATGCGTCACCACTCGGGGGAGCCTTTGGGAACCGCGCCAAGCCCTGGGAGATTTGAGAGTTCGGAGTCCGTGCCCTTTAAAATCTTTTCAGGAGTAAAGACTGATGCTTAGGGGATCGAGCAAGGAACCTGAGGACACTCCAACTCGTGTCCGAGGGCACGGTGGCGGGTCCTGTACAACGTATTTTGAATAACATACCATGCAATACATGGCTACACAGCACCACTTATATGTTTACCTGTAATGCATCCCACAGGTTGCAGCACGTAGAATCTTGGCATCGCTCGGACGTGTGCATGTTTCCTTCGGCGAGGACCATCGAGGAGCATCCTTGATCATTTGGCGAAAAAGCCACGCACGAAGCCGAACAAAAACACATGGAATGGACGTCCGAGCGATGGCCAGGAATGCACACCGATACTGAAATAGCACCCTGTTTGCAGTCCACGCTGGCAACTGTGTTCATGATAGTCATGGCGATGGTTATGATGTTTTGATGGTGGTGTTCGTACTCGTTCTTGTTCATGCTGGCGACGTTGGTGGAGGGGAAATGGGAGGACACCCCTCAGGAGCCGTCATATTGTCCGGAGTCAGAGAGAGAGAGAGGGAGAGAAAAAAAAAAGAGAGAGAGAGACGTGCAGGCAGGAGGAGGAGGGCGTGGGCGATGGTCGGGAGGACTTGCCGTGCGTTTCGGCGGCCGCCTTGCCCCCCCCCCCCCCCCCCATCCCGCGCCGCCTCCCCCTCTCCGCCGCCTCTCCCCACGCCTTGCCCCCCCCCTCCCCCCCCCCCTCCCTCCCTGGGCGCACAGGTGCGCGCAGCAGGCGGAGCACTTCGAGGACTCCGAGGCGCTGTGGGGCTACGTCGCCGCGAAGTTCGCGCTGCGCGCGGGCATGCCAGCGGCCAGCCCAGGGGGGGAGGTGAGAAAGGGGCGGGCCCTCTCGGAGGGCTCGGACGCCCCCTGGCCTGCTGAGCAGTTCTCCGAGCCTTCCCCGAGGGCACGGAGCACCTCTCAGAAGGCGTGAGGGCCTCTGAGAAGTCCCGCCGCCTGCTGAGAAGGCCTTCTCCTTTTTCTCGCTTCGCTTCGGATGCAGCTCCTGGGAGGTCAAAGTCTGACTTTGCCTTGGCCCTAAATCTGGCCTGATCCGGCTGGATCCCGCCTCATCCGGTTTAACTCCCGCTGGATCCGGCCTCACCCCGCTTATTCTGCGGCCCAGTCCGGCGCAGCAGCCCCCCAGTGGGGGCTCAATCCCCTTGACGCCTTCCGACGAAGACCTCCCAGTAGTTGCCTCCTTTTGGCGTCACCCCAACATAATAATGCTATGTGTGCGTCGCCCCCCCCCAGGGGCGACGTGCGCACCGAGAAGACTTTTAGTAGATGCGTCGTGGCGGGCGCTTTCTGGCCACAGCGCTCGGGAAACTACCTACTACAAGATGGGTATACTATATGTTCGGGTCGGACGCGCGTCTCCGAGGAGAACATATAGTACTACTATGTTTTTGTGCGTCCCATCCTTCTCACTTCCCCCCCGGCGTGGATTTTGGGCGGATTTGAAGCGGACTCGGCGCGGATTTGGCGCGGATTCGATGCGGATTTGGCGCGGATTCGATGCGGATTCGACACGGATTCGACACAGATCCGACGAGGCCGACATGGATTCGACACGCGTTCGACGCGGACACGGCCGCGACGAGATAGACAAGGTCCCTCGAGGATGCAACGTATTTCCCAGTAGTTGCCTCCTTCTCACTTCCCCTGCCCTTCGGCTGCCCACTGTCCCCCTTAAGCCTTCCGATAGACCCTCCGAGTAGTTGCCCCCTTTGGGGGAACCAACAAGGTACCGATACCGCTACTCTCTGGACCTCTCCCGGGGTACGGCCCGACCAGAACGTCGAGGCGAATTTGGCGGTGGCGACGAGGGCCTCCCAGGAGGCCCCAAAAAGGGGGGGACAAAAACGAGGGAAGGACAGCGGTGGGGGTACCTTCTCCTCCTCTGACCCGGGACAGCGTCGACCCCCAGAGGTCTGGAGTCTGGACCCCTTCCCCGGGACCGGTGTTCCATCCCGAGTCCTTTCTGACGGCCCCGCGGCCCGGTAAGGGCCCCCGGAGGCCGAACAAAGAGCGAAACATTTCCCGTCGTGATTTTTTGTTGAAGCGCCTCCTCGGAGTATAGTTGCCTCCTTCTCACTTCTGGTTGGCCCAACAGGGGGTCCAGCGACAAGGGGGTGGTGCAATAGATTTGGTGCAATAGATTTGTGGGGTTGCAACAAACATAATGGGGTGCAATACATTCCAGCGCGCAAGTGCATTGCTGGGTTTTCGCGTGCAGTACATTAGCTGCAATACAATGCAACACAGTTCTCTGGCGCAGTACATGTCCCATCCAATGGCCCAACATTTCTTGCACCACCCCCTTTCAGCTGGACCCCCTTCTGGGTCGCAGGGATCACTTCCCCCCCCGCCGCTGCGCCGCCGAGCCGTGGCCTTTGGCGCGCTGACCCGCGGCGCCCCGCCCGAGCTGCGGGGCCTGCTCGCCGGGGGCGGCGGCGTCGCCTCCCTGGGCGGGGGCCCGGGCGCGGAGCTTTTCGCGGCCGCCGTGGCGCGCGACGTCGCCGGGGGCCGGCCGGGGAGGCCGCCGTGGGGGGCCACGCTCGACGATTTCTTCAAGGAGTGGCGAGGCGTCCAGGCGTCCCTCTAGGCCTACCAAACAATGTTCTGAGAACCTTTTGTGGTCTGCGCGACATGTTCTTGGAACATTTCTTGCTGGGGCTGTCTTGTTTCAACACCTCGGGTTTATGTTCTAGTTGTTTTTGTTCTTAGAACATTTTTGGGTTCTAAGCACATGTCGTGGTAGGTCTACAGGAATGCCAGGACGGTCGGTCCCTGCTCAATATAGATGGGGTCGGAGTAGATGGGGTCGGAGGATCCCCTTTTTGGGCCTCCTGGGCGGCCCTCGTCGCCGCCGCTGGAGTCGCCTCGAAGTCCTGGGCGCGGGCCCGGGCGCGGAGCTCCTCGCGGCCGCCGTCGCGCGCGACGTCGCCGGGGGCCGGCCGGGGAGGCCGCGGGGGGGGGGCCACGCACGACGACGAGCCCGAGGCCCAGACGCCCTCGCGTTGTGAAACAACATCTCGACGGGAGGAGCGGGAGGAGGAGGGGGAGGAGGAGGAGGAGGAGGAGGAGGAGGAGGAGACAGCTATACACTCCGAGGGGGCGCTGCGAGCAAAAATCTCGACGGGAGGCGTGTTGCGATCTTTTTCTATGCGGCCTCCGGGGGGCCCTTCTATACCGGGCCTCGGGGCCGGCAGAGAACGACTCGGGATGGCACAGCGGCCCCGGGGAAGGGGACCAGACCTTTGGGGGTCGACGCTGTCCCGAGTCAGAGGAGGAAAAGGTACCCCCACCGCTGTCCTTCCCTCGTTCTTCCCCTTTTTGGGGACTCCTGGGGGGCCTTCGTCGCCACCGCCGGATTCGCCTCGAAAGCCTGGTCAGAACGCACCCCAGGAGAGGTCTGGGGAGTAGCGGTATCGGTTCTAGTAGCTTTTAGTTTCTTCAGGGGGGCAACGTTCGACGATCCTGAGGGCGTGTCGAGCAGTGGCGAAGCGTCCTGGCTTGCTGGGACGGTCGGGTCGGTCCCTGCTCAAGCGTGTGTTTCGTCGGCGAGCGAGGGGGGAAAGTGAGAAGGAGAAGGCCCTCTCAGAAGGCGGCGGGGGCTGCTCAGAAGCCCTCGCGCCTTCTGCGAGATTGTTTCTGCATTCGGGGAAGGATCAGAAGATATCTCAGAAGGCTGGGGACCTTTGAGTCTTCAGAGAAGGCCCGCCCTTTCTCACTTCCCCCGGGGCCTCCCAGAAGGCGGCGGGGCTGCTCAGAAGCCCTCGCGCCTTCTGCGAGGCTTTCTGTGTCTTCGGAGAAGGATCAGAAGACTTCTACGAAGGCGGGGGGACCTCCGAGCCTTCAGAGGAGGCCCGCCCTTTCTCACTTCCCCCCGGGCTCGCCGCCGACGTGTGGGCGTGTGCTGGCCCAAGCGCGTATTTGCTGCGTTTGGTACCGCTGATAGCGCGCGGCCCGTGTTGGCCCCAGTTGCGCCGCCCGCGTCGTATTGAGGGGCCTCGGTAGCAAGCACACATTGGCGCTGACGCACGTTCTGAGGATCATCAAAACGTCAGTTCAAGCCTCCCAGATGTGGTCCGAGGACATGGGGTCCGAGGATCGCGCCGCATCGCCGATGCACAGGTGGTGCGGCTCGGTGTGGAGGCCGATGTCATTCACGCCGACATTGTCGCCGAAATCGCCGATGAATCGCCGATGCATCGGCGATGCATCGGCGATAAGGCGCGATCCTCCGACCCCATCTACTTGGACCCCATCTAGGAGGTCTCTTAATAGGGGGGGGGAGGCTCGACGGAGGGATGCATCGCCCCCAGTCTCTCCGACCACTTGCGAACCCCACTCCCCCTACGTGTCCATGTGACGCTGGCTGTACGCATCGGACACCCCTTTCTGAGGTCCACCAGGCTGCAGACATCCTTCAGCTTCTGACCCCCAGCTGGTTTGGTTTTCCAGTACTGACCTGCAGGGGTAGGGTCCACGCACGGGTTCCTACAGTCGCCGCTCCAGTGTCGACGTGGGGCCCGAGTCGGAAACAGAAATCAGCATAACATACAGTCGGCCCGGAATAGTAGGCCGGCCTTGCCAGATCAAGGGTACCTTTGCGTCCTGTGTCTCGCGACCCGTGCCTCCTGCATTCCTATTGGCGATGTGGCCTTCTGAAGGGTCTTGTGTCCTCTCGCGTGTCCTGTCCAATCAAGCCCGACTGTAGAAACTTTCGGAGGTCCGCCCGGTCATCTTGGATCGGCGTTCCCCCCCCCCCCCCGGGCAGCGCCTCTGGCGCCGCTCTTGCCGCGTTCCGCGCGCCAGGGCAGGGGCCTGTCCAGGCCCGATCCAAGGAGTCCGTGCGAACCTCCCGGGGGCTCATCGGCGACTTGGATCCGTCGCGTGGTGCGAATCGGAGGAGGAGTAGGAGGAGGAGGAGGAGGAGGGAGGAGGAGGAGGAGGAGGAGGAGGAGGAGGAGGAGGAGGAGTATATAACGAGGAGGAAGAGGAGGGGCATTCGGTGGGGAGGGGGGAGCTTCGCATCACGTGACGAAGTCCCTCTGCCCAGCTGAGGTTCATGGCGACATGGTCTGCCTGTCTGCCGATGGCCCACCCCGCCCGAGAGCGTGCGGTTTCGCCGCCCGTGGGCCGAGCGCCGTTCTCTCGTCGAGGTGTCGTCGATTCCAGGTCGATGCATCCCCCCCCGAGCCGGTCCCCTCCCCCTCTCTCCTCCTCCTCCTCCTCCTCCTCCTCCTCCTCCTCCTCCTCCTCCTCCTCCTCTCCTCCTCCCTCTCCTCCTCCCTCTCCTCCTCCTCCTCCTCCTCCTCCTCCCTCCTCCTCCTCCGCCTCCTCCGCCTCCTCCGCCTCCTCCGCCTCCTCCGCCTCCGCCTCCGCCTCCTCCTCCTCCTCCTCCTCCTCCTCCTCCTCCTCCTCCTCCTCCTCCTCCTCCTCCTCCTCCTCCCCCCCAAACAAGTTGCCCCGCAGGCTGGCGGTGTACGAGTGGGTGGACGGTTGGCGGCCGATGGTGGAGGCCTCGGGGGCCCTCGGAAAAGGTTCGGGGGCATCGGAGAGGTGTCGTTGTTGTGTGTGTGTGTGTGTTGTGTGTGTGTGTGTGTGTGTGTGTGTGTGTGTGTGTGTGTGTGTGAAAGTGTGTGTGTGTGTGTTGTGTGTGTGTGTGTCTGTGGGGAGTAGGGTGTGTGGGTAGCATGGCCCCTCTTTCAATGCTGCGGCCCCTGTCCTCGTCGTCGTCTCCCTCCCTCTCCTCCTCTTTGCTCGTGCTGTGCTCCTTCTGCTTCGCAGTCGTGAGGCGCAGTCCTGATGCGGTCCGTGTTTCTGCCTCGAAGTCCTGAGTCGTTCCGGTTGTTCGGCCTCGCACTCTAGAGTATTTGCCCAAGCCTCGCGCCGAGGGCTGGCGCATGGCTTCTGTGTGTTTGTGTGTGTGTGTGTGCCTTCCATCTGCTTCTCGCGCTGGAGGACCCTCTGCACCGCTGGCTTAAAGTGTTTGTCTGTTTGTTTGTTTGCTTGTTTGCTTGTTTGTTTCTGTGTGTGTGTGTGCGTGTCGTCAACTGCGGTGGGTTTGCCCTTCCACGGTGGCACCCGCTTTGCACGTCGGCCACACGCGTCGTCCACCACCCATGGATTTGCCTGTGCTGTCCACCACCCATGTACGCCACCGCTTGTTGGCTGTCGCGGTCGCCCGCGGTCAGCTCGTTTTTTGTTTGTCGGCCTTTGACTCGTCCGCGCGCTGTCGTTGCGCTACTTGCACCTGCACGGCGTTCTGCCGTGTTCGCTGCTCGCCAGGCGGCGGTGCTTGTCTCGCTTGTGCCTGTCTCGCGCCGCCGTCTGCGAACTGGTCTGGCAGCCTTGCAGTACGCTTCTTTCTTATGGCTACTAGCACCAGACTGCTGTATCGCTTCAACTCCTTGCGTCAAGCAACGCTCCGCAGGATGCTTGACCGCTGCACTTTACTGGCTAGTTAGCACCAGGCTGTTGCTTGCGCTTCAACTCCTGGCGTCGAGCTACGCTCCGCCGGTTGCTTGGCCGCTGCAGGCGTTACAGTGCCTTATCTTGTTACCACATTCACCTGTGTGCGCGGCCGTGGCTGACTTTTCCATCACGGCGCGTTCGACTAAGTTCGTTCGCACTTATCCATTCCATCTGCCGTTCGCGCCTGAGGTTCTGCGCCGCCGGCTCAAAAGTGCGCGCGCGCGCGCGTGTGTGTGTGTGTGTGTGTGTGTGTGTGTGTGTGTGTGTCTTGCCCCCCCCCTCAACCGCGCACATGCCTCGTGTCATAGTGGGCTAACCGTCCTTTTTCTAGCCCTTTTTTCTTCGGCGCACCCGAACATGGGCTTTTGGAGCCCTCCTCTTCGGAGGCATTCAACGTGTACGCCACCGAATCGGTCCAGTCCGATCCTGGGCCTGGGATCGGCTTGCATGCTCTCCGTGCCAAGCCAGGGGGGCGTGTACAGCGATCCTTGGCCAAGGAGGGGCCCGGGTGTGGTTCTGTGTGTACATGGCGCCCTCCTGCCTATGGGAGCCTCTCGCGAGCCTGTCGGGCCTCCCTGGAGTCGATTCGAAGCCCGTTGGCCGTCCTGGGAGCCTTCTGGGATCATCATCTTGGGCTTGCTTGGCGCCCCCTGGATCGCACAGCATCGCCGGAACGTCGGACATGTGGCGCGATCCATCGCCTGATGCTCTCCGTCCCGACGTTTCCGATGCATCGCCGCTGCATCTGCGCTGGCGGCTCGGAGGCTGTGAACGTACTCGTGGGCCCCCCAAAAATGGTGCGTGCCCTCCCGGCCAAGCCGGCAGGGCGTCGATATACGCGCCGAGCCTGGGCCCTGCAGAGGTCGGGGGCCCCCGAACGGTGCGGTGACCACACCGTCTGGTGAGTTCGTGGGGATTCGGAATGCCCGCACGGTTTCGGAAGTTGAGCTGAAGTCGGGCATGTCCCCGTACAGGATATATATATATATATATATATACATAGCCAAATATATGCATATATACACGCACACTATGTTTGAGCTTCTTTCGACTATGTTGAGTTTTTGTTATGCCAGAATTCCTCCTGCAGGAGTACATGCCCGACCCAAACTTGGGTCTTGCTCCGAGGAGGTCTGTGGAGACTGGGGCCTCCAGGGTCCCAAGACCGAGCGGTGACGGATCTGTGCGGTGAGGGCCTCGGGGGTTCGGAGGTCACGCCACGGGCTGTTGCCCCACCGCTTCGGGACTTCCAGAGTACGTACGTTCACGGGCGGTCCAGGAGCTCCACGGGTGGCAGACCAGCGATGGCGCCGTGCCCCTTCTCGGGTCGGGGGGGTTGGGGAAAGGGGGGAGGTGCGCACTCTGCTGCACGCAGCTGGTTTCGGCCATTCCGCCAGGCGCTGTCCTTGGTACGCACGGCGCCTCTGGCGCCGGGAGGCGACAGAGAGCTGATTCGCCAGCCGCCCCTTTTCTAACCCCCGCCCTTTCTTCCGATCCGACGCTCCCCACACTTGCGGGTGGCGCCTCCAGGGTCGCCACTGGAGGGGAGAAGGGCCGGAGCCAGGAGATCTGCCGTCCGCCCACGTCCGACGTGTATACGAGTTTTTTGCCCTGTTGGAGTAGGGGGGGATATGGGCTTGATTGTCTAGGGGATGGCGGCAGCGTCGTCGTAGTAGCACTCGGTGTCAGTCAGTCAGTGGAGCCGCGCTGCACGGCGCATCGGCTAAACAGCACACGGCTAATTACAGCAGTTCTGGTACATAAGCTCTCAAAACACATGTGTTCGGGCAATGCTTCTCCACTGGGCTCTACTGTTGATCAGGCCGAGCTCAGCGTGCATAGACATGCCAGAGGCCGAGCATGCTTGCAAGGCGTGCTCGCGCATCACGCGTACCCATGTCAGTCTGAAGAGGCCTCGTGCTCTCCTTCCGTGTAAGACGGGGGGATCAATGTTCTTGGAGGCACAAACAGCATCGTGAGTTGCTGAGTCCCGCATGCTACCGATTATCCCAAACAAGTCAAGCTGATCCTTGAGAATATGGCTGCTCAGGCGGTGCTGTCTTGCTTGTTGCCGCTCGCTTTCGTTGATTACATGGGGGATCATATAATGGAATCCTGCGAAGACATTGTGCCCGACAACGCGTCAAGTTTGTCCCTCTCGGCATCCCGCAGACACTTGGAACTGACGCACGCGTTGAACGTGAGCAGTACGTGAGCTTGGAACTGACGCACGCGTTGAACACCATCTTTCTTCTCTGACTGCTGTTGGCGTGGCTCCACGCCAGGCTCAATTCATCCAGGGCTCTCCTGGCCTCTCCGAGTCTGCGCGCCAGTATGCGCCCGTGTTGCAGTCAGCACTCAAGCGGCCTCCAAGATACTGAGCGGAGCTCGTAGGTTTGACCGGGCCCCCAGGCCCCCAGTGGATGTGAGTATTGGCGCTGCATGCCGAACTTGTAAACGCATTTTTTTCCCAGTTGGGCTCCAGGCCTTAGTTCCACGCATGATGAACAAGCGTGCGTGAGAAAAGCTGTAAACGGGGAGTCTGGTATCTTCGACTAACAATCTGGCATCGCGCAAGGGTGCCCCCTGAGCCCTTATCGCTTCATCATCATGCTGTCCGTTTTGCTGACAGCTGCTTGCTGAAGGGCGAACATGCTTAGACGTAGAAACCACTGATACCTGATTTTCTTGATAATCACTTTTTACTCTGAGCTCGCCACCGTCCGCAATCAGATATCGTGATATCGCTAGCCTCTGAGCGGGCTGAGACTAGGGTAGCGTGCATCAGCACGCAGGTCACCAAAACGGCGGGGCCCGCTAGCCTTGCGGGGACTCGAGGGCGCCCTCGAGCAACAACGCCAGTAGAGATGGGAGTTGGGCTGACAGAGCGCGTGGGTCGGAGAAGACAGCGTGCAATAGAAACTACGCAGTGGGAGACTGTGTTGTCCGAACCTCTTCACATTCGAAGTCAGAGAAGGACTCGCGGAGCGAGCGAACTCCAAACTGAAATCAAGTGTTGCCGTGAAATTGCAGTTCTTCATGGGAGAAGGCTTCTCCTCCAGAGTACTGAGACCACGCAGGCCTGGCTTGCGTGCAGTCTCGAACTCTGGGTCGTGCACTAACGTCCAGCAGCTCCTGGCCATGGAAAAGTCGAGCAACTTCTGCTCCTCGTACTTGATCTTGGTTCAGCCGTCTGCTACCTGGTCGGGTGAGTGAGCCCAGCGAAGCTGCGCCCCGCATTCCGTCACTCCCTGCTAGAACGCCGTGCATTCTATGGCGGCCCGCTTGTCACTCACTCCGAGTGCTGAGCTCTCTGATCCCATCACGGCTTCGTATAAGCTCCTTGCAGTCGGCCACCAGGACGCTCTCTGGCCCTACTCTAATGATCTCGTAGCGCATGTCGTCATTCAGCTGCACTTCCTCGTTCAGTATCTCCATCCAGGCCAGCTGGATTTATTCCAGCTCGTCGGCAGCCTTGCTCGCCGCCTGTATCTCGGCACCAAGGGAATATCTGAATTCTCTGGTCGGCTTCTTGGAAGTGCCTGTGAATACGGTGAAGTTCTGCTTCTTGCCTTGTAGTGCTTCCATCTCCGTCGTACAGATGACGTTTTCTCCTTGGCTGTTGCTGTCGGCTCGTGACCACCACGAAGCGTCGAACCAGCAAACACAGGCAATGTCAAGGTGCGCGGCCTTGGAGCTTGGACACCAATCGAGGTCCACATAAACCCTTCTCGTCCTTCTTAGTCCCGCGCGCGTAGAGCTTCACTCTCATGACGTAGGAGTCGAAAACAGCCACGTCACCGTCCCAGGAGGAAACAGTCTCATGTTCAACTTATTATTTCGTCATGATGAGCCGATCCACCGGCTCCTCTACTGGCTTGATTTTCTCGGAGATTGCTGCATTTTCGCCGTAGTAGCAATCTATAAACGAGTATCTTGATAACCACCTTTTCCTCTGAGCTCGCCACCGTCTGCAATCAGATATCGTGAACTCGCTAGTTCCTGAGCGGGCTGGGAATGCGGTGGCGTGCTTCAGCACGCGCTTCGCCAAAACGGCGGGGTCCAGTAGCCTTGCTGGGACTCGGGGGCGCCCTCGGACCGCAACACCAGCAGAGATGGGAGTTGGGCCGACAGAGGAGGCCGTGGAGCGGCCAACGTGCAACAGAAGCTACAAGGGACCGGGGAGGGGACCGTCGCCCACTCGTCGCCGATAGGGGCCTGGTAGCCCCACATGCCCAGGGCCGCGCGGAGTCGCCATCGGGGGCCTACCGCCGATCTGTCGATGCCAGCTCGATGTTTCCCCCCCCTTCCCCCCCCCCCTGAGCCCGTTCTCCGCCAACATTCCCGCCCACCACACCACCCCAGCCAGACCCGAAGGCCCCGAGTTGCCCGCCATTTCGGGGGGGGGGGGGCGTCGGAGAACACCGACGAACACACGTCGCAGTGTGGAACCCGTATCCCGTCCCGACCCGAAATTCGGGTCTTCGGGTTGGGGTGGGGCGGTCTGGTAGGCAGTCACGAGCGTTCCCCCTTCGCCCAGGCGCTGGGGCAGCTGCTCGAGGAGCAGATCGAGTACCACCACTGCGACGTGTCGAAGCCCCTGTGCGACCCGGCGAACAGTGCGCTGAGAGGAGCGGCGGAGCGCGCTGGGGGGGGAGGTAGGGGGCTGGCCTGTCCCGAGGGCGGCGGGGCTTCTCCTCGTCCCTCTCCTCCTCCACCTCCTCCTCCGCCTCCTCCTCCTCTTCCTCCTCCTCCTCCTCGCCTCCTCCTCCTCCCCGTCCTGCTCCTCATGCTCCTCATCCTGCTCCTCCTCCTCCTCTCCTCCTCCTCCTCCTCCTCCTCCTCCTCCTCCTCCTCCTCCTCCTCCTCTTTCTCCTCTTCCTCCTCCTCCCTCCCTCTCCGTCCTGCTCCTCATGTTCTCATCCTGCTCCTCCTCCTCTCTCCTCCTCCTCCTCCTCCTCCTCCTCCTCCTCCTCCACCTCCTCCTCCTCCTCCTCCTCAAGTCCCATCTTGGCTAAACGCGCCTCGCGGCGCCTTGCGCGAGCCCCGAGCCTTCGCGAGGCGGACTTGGGATCCGCGGACGCCAGCCGCCATGGGCGCGACGGCGGTGACTGATTCGGGGCGAATCTGGAACTGGGGGGCTGCCCGATGGCGTGGCGGCTCACCACCTCGCGGGAGGCGGACATCGCTGCTTCCGGGGCGACCGCCGCGCGTCGCTTGGCGCAGAGGCGGAGGCGCGATGCTTGCGAGGCAGGCCTTCGTCGCCTACGCGCAGCACTTCCGTGCCAGGTGGCGGCGGGTGTGCAGCCCGCGCGAGCGGCCCCCGTTGTCGAGCCGTTCGTGGCCGCCCCGCAGGTGAAGCAGGTGGACGTGCTCCTCGCCGCCCTCAGCGTCGGCCGGGGAACCGAGGACTGCGTGCCTCCATCCGCTCTCGACGGAGGTGCAGTGCAGATGCGCCGCGGTGCCTAGGAGTTCGTGCCGTGCGCCAGCCTGCAGGCGACTGCCGCCGAGGGGTTCCGCGCTGCAGTGCGACGGCGCGCGGGGGCCAAGACCGAGGACGCCGAGGCGGCCCGCGACGACGAGCACCACGGCCACCACGAGCTCAACTCCTCCGACTCCGATGTCGACATTGTCGACGCGGCGGCGCTGGTCCGCGCCTTGGAGGAACAGCTCAAGGAGGTAGAGGCGGAGGCCGCTCGGCTCGGCGCCGCGCTGGCCGCGACGGATCGTGGCGCACACGATCGAGGCGGAGATCGCGAGGGTGGCCAGACCACCACGCGACGGGTCCACTTCGGCCCCCGGAGTGGTGCTGCCCCAAGGCCGTCTCCGTCGTCCGCAGCGACGACACCATCGACAAGTCGCCGCATGATGCTGTCCTCAGCGAGCCCCGCGGTCCGAACAGGCTGGCCCGCCCCTGGCCCGAGCGCCAGGCGCATTTCGGCGTCCGAGCTGATGCCAACGGCGGAGCCCAGACGGCCGTGGCTTCGCCGCCACCACGGCCGCGATGGCTGCTGCCGCCCCGCCCCCGACCGCCCCCAGGGACGGCGAGGCTCAGGCGCGCTGGCAGATGTAACCGAATGCGTGGAGGGCCCGCTGCCGCCAGCGTGAGCGCTGAGAGCTCCTAGGGGGGCAGGGTGAGTACGCCTCGTCGGAGGGTCAGCACCCCACCCCTCCCACCCTTCGGGAGAGCGCCTAGGGGCGGCTGGGGGCGCGTGGGGCGCCCCAGCGTTTTTTTGTGTTCGTCGCCGTGCTCTACGACCTGCTCGTGTGCGGCCTCGTTTTCGCCTCCGAAGGAGCCGATTCGCCTCCGCCTGGCTCGCGGGGGCGGTCGCCTGATCGTCTATTTATGGTTAGATTTCCACTCCACTCCTCCTACTCCTCCTCCTCCAGCCCTGGGGCCTTCTCAGCTGCGCTTTGGCTCTGCATCGCTCGGACGCGCGCGTTCGTTTTCTCGGCGCGAGGACCATCGAGGAGCATCCTGGAGCAGATGTTGGAGCAGGAGTATACGCATTACCAGTGGCGGGCTGTTTTTCAGTCCCAGGAGTTTTTGAGGGTCGGGGTCCACGTCGGGGAGGTGTGGTGTCCCGGTTTCCCCAGGGTGCCAGCGAGAAATGGATGCACCAGGAACCCGTGTGCGCCAGGATCCGCTTTCTAGTGCGAGTTTCAGTGCGGGGCCGGAAAAAACGTCGGTGCATTGAGTTCGGCTCCTTACACCTTGCGGACAGGAGCGCGCGCGAAACCGAACCATGCGCGGGGCATGGACGTCCGAGCGATGGCAAGGTTGTGGCTTTGGAGAGTGTCCGCCCCCTTTGCCCTTTTCCCCCGGGATGCGCGCCGCCGAGAGGAACCCTGGGGGGCTTCAGCCTGCTGATCTTCTCCCACGTGCTGCTCGAGTGTGGCAGGGGCGGCGTCGCCCCGGTGGACCTCAGAGGAGGAAAACGCATCCGTACCTCTACCCCGTCCTCGTTCTCTCCTTTTGGGGCCTCCTCGGAGGCCCTCGTCGCCACACCGCTGCATTCGCCCCGGAACTCTCGTCAGCGCGCACGCCGGGAGAGGTCCAGGGAGTGGCGGTACCAGTACTTTGCGGTTTCCCCAGGACCTGCTGCGGGGCATCTGGGCCGAGTTCCCAGGCGTCGGGGCGCGCCCGCCGTGCATGTGCACAGGGCCCACAGGGCCGAGGGCCGGCTAACCCTAGGGCTCACAGGGCCGGAGTGCGTGCCCTCGCAGGCCAGGCCACTGGAGGGGCGCCTGCGCGTGTCGAGCCTGGGCCCCCTGCAGATGCATTCGCGCATGCATCTGCGTGTGCGATGCATTTGCGTTTCCGATGGGCAGCGGCCCTGGGTCAAGGAGGGGCCCGGGTGTGGGTTTGTGCGTAAATGGCGCAATGGCGCCATCCTGCCTAATGGTACTTTTCGCGAGCCTGCCGCGCCTCGTTGGGGTGGATTCGAAGCCCATGGATGTATTCGCGATGGAGGCTCGGAGGCCAGGAACGTATTGCGTGCCCTCCCGGACATGCCACCAGGGCGTCTACACGTGCCGAGCCTGGGTTTTCCCTGCAAATGTCGGGGGGTCCCGGGCGGTGCGGCGTGGGGATTTCGGAGTGACCGCGCGCTTTCGGGACTTGGGTCTGTGGCGAGTGGGGCCTCCAGGGTCTCAAGGCCGTGCGGTGGCGGACCGTGCGGTGATGGTTTCGGGGGTTCCGAGGTCTCCGCACGGTTTGTCACCGCACCGTTTCGGGACCTTCAAAGATGGCCCTGGCGAAAGTTCAGTGCAGGTGTATCCCAGACTCACGACCTGGTGATTTTGTTCGCAGCGATGGCCCCCGGATGTCTCGACCTTCCCGGGGACGACGTTGTCGCCCCGAGTTGTTCTGTTGACATCCCTGGGCCCAAGAAACGGCTACAGTGGGAGGAGGATTATTAGGACGAAGAGGAGGAGGACGAGGATGATGATGCTGATGCTGATGCTGATGCTGATGCTGATGATGATGATGATGCTGCTGCTGCTGCTGATGATGATGATGATGATGATGATGATGATGAGGAGGAGGAGGAGGAGGAGGAGGAGGAGGAGG